GAGACATCTCTGATCTTGCATGTTTTCAGTCCTCTCAATTCATGCTATAGTCACTGAGTATCTCGAACCGTGACCATGCTCATGTTAAGCGAAGGATTACCCAACATTTTGCTCCAACCAGTTCAGATTTTAAAGGTGCATTATTATTGATTAGCCACATGGGGGCATAGAGCTCTAATTTATACTAACGTCGAGCAGGATATGTATCCCAAAGCATTAGAAATAGAATTCCTTAGATACTGTATTAGTAGTATTTCAATAAACTCAGAAACTAAAGGATGTTCCCAACACATTGCACATGGGCAATGTCACCAACGAACAGAACATGTTTGTTTTTAAAAGGTGACTGTGCAGGTTTGTGCCCTGGCAAGCAGTTCTCAATGCTAATGGCACATTATAACCACTTGGGGGCGGGGGGGGGTTTAAAAAAATCCCATTATGTTGCATCTGGGGGTTGCAGCCAGGGAACGGGATTGGCAATTTTTAAAGCTCCCCAGGCTGAGAACCACTGATCTAGGGATTAGTGGAGCTTGAAAGTTACACGAAACACCTGGCCGCCCCCAACACTTTGAACTGTAGTAAGGGACGCCGGGGGTCATGGTCGCTCTATCAGAAAGTAAACACAAGTTGCAAAATAGAGCAGTAAGCTCATTACTATGGAGCCAACATGTCCTTAATTTGTCTCCCCATCAGTGCTACACAGACTCCCTGGAGTATCTAAGCTGGTTCCAGTGACATATTTTCAAAGCAAGCAAGTGACCGAGCGGGCCCTGCTTGCTGAGCAGCCAGACGGCTCGCGCCACCATGCCTGTGGGCGCATGGCAACCTTTCAACCCCCAACTGCTCTCCACCTGCTCTTCTCACAGCGAGCTGAGGCTGGGTTTGACTGTAAATTCCTCTGACTCTAACGTCAGACATTGGACAATGCAAAGTTCAAAAAAAAAAAAAAAGGAGGGGGGAAAGGAGATTTTAGATCCCACATGTTTACATTCAATTATGTAAAAAAAAAAAAACCAAACCCATTATCTCTTCACCAAAAAAATAATCACAATGAAATATTAGGTTTATTCATTAGTCCAAAACAGATGAAGCTGCTTAGCTGGCTCGCCTGGCCCCTAACTTTTCCAGTTGCTGAGCCGAGTATCTGGATGTTCACGAATCATCTTTTAGATGCTGTAAGGAAAGTTCTCGGCTTAGGTGGTGAAGCTGGGCAGGTCTCGGAGCCTTGGTGCTCATTTAGATGGAGGAGCAAGAGATGAGGACTGCACCAGGGCTCGCAGGGCCGGTCGGGCTTCGGTTACTCACGCTACATCCCACCACATTGTGGAAGAGACGCGGGAGGGCGCGAGGGTCCTGAGAGCTGTCCAGTCCCACATTCCTGCTCCTCCTACAGAGCAGGCAGCTGGGGCCCGGAACCTGCCCCACGACCCCCAGCGGTTAATGCTGCCGCAGCTCTGGCTGCCAGAATCCTAGCCCCCCAGCCAAGGAACTTTCCACGGCCTCCCGGTTGTCCAAGAAACGCCTCTAGGGTGCTTGCGTTTTGTTGCCAGCACCATCAAAGTCACCCCCCCCCACCACCTTCTCGGTGGCCCGTCGCTTGAGTTATGACTCTCACATTCAGGGCGTCCTTGCTCCCAATTTTAATTACGGGTCTGGATTCCTCCTCTCTGTCCCTTCCCTCCGGACGTCCTTGGTTACTGGTGTTGGAATGTCTTTCTTAGCAAAACACTAAAACCAAATGCTCGTCCTGTGTGCGTGTGTGGTGAATTCAATGGACACCAGTGACTGAAAAATACTGAGAAATTCTTTGTCTAAAGCTGCTGCCGGCGGCAGGGGAGTGCGATTCAACAGACAGTGCTGTTCAGCTTTTTTGTTTGTTTTTTTTTTTTTTAAACTATTTGTAGCTGTTCTATGAGGAGGAGGATGGAGAGAGAGGAGAAAGGGAATTTGCAGTCTAGGCTCATCTGTAAGTGAGTTTTGTGTGACAATAAACCTCAACAGTGGAACCACCAGACAGTTCTTACTAATTAAACAGAAAGACCTCTCCCACTGATTTCCCTGTAAACAGGAACAAACGGTCTCTCGGTATGGCAGGATGGAGGACTCCTGTCCTGTTTTCGTTCATCAGATGCTCCGCCATCCACAGCAAATGGCTTCACTCTGGGCTTTTGGCTGCTTCATCTAGCGAAGGCGTCTTTGCCTGAAAGCCAACCAGACGACCTACCAAGTTCAACCCCAGAGCTCAGGCCTTTGATGTTAATAAGTTAGCATTTTCCAAATTCTATTTTTCAGGATACTCTTGTCTGCGAGATGTTTATAGGCCTTTCTTAAGAAAATAATTTGGGGAAATTCAGGCTTAATCAAAATTAACATTTTTGAAAAAGGCAATCTCTTTGAGCCATTCACGCACGTGGCCCATGAACCCTTAAAGTGGGTGCAGTAGCATGTTCTTCCCCAAACATCTGAACCCAGATGCTTCTGGAGAAAGGCTTATTTGCAGCTCACAAGACCCCAAAGCTCTGTAGAACACAATGTGGGGACATGCTGTAATAAATGGTCGAGAGAAAATAGGTCATCTTTAAATGAAAGGACTGAGAGAGAAGGTGCAAAAAAAAGTTGCCTATCTGTATCCCTTACCATTACAAGCACTTCAGTTTTCCCCAGAATTCTCAGCCAGAGAAGTCAAACTGCTCATCACTGAAGTAAAATTGCTGATCTCTTGAACTTGCTCTCTCACACTGAAACTTCTTGTGTGTTACACTAAAAACGTTTAAGTAGTAGAATTCATTTCTCAGGGAAGGAAGCAGAAGACTATGGTCTGAGGACTGACCTAACACAACAGACTGCTAACTTCAGAGACACAAGGAGAACTTCTTGGGCCCCGACTCTGTACCTGGGCCCCTGGGCAGGTCTACACGGCCAAAGCACGAGGCAGGAGGTGAGTGCCTCCCACCGGGCCCACCTTATCACTATGCTCAGACAAGAGCCCTCCCTAGGGTACCACTCAACACAGGGAGGCCATCCGAGACCAAAGAACAAGTACATTTCAGTGGAAAACTCTTACACTGTCTCTGGAAGCTCCAACCAGCTTCTCTGGTTCTCTGAGTTAAAGGCCGGGTCCCAAGGCAGACCACCCTGCCCCCACCAGGTGGGAACTGCTCAGGGGTGAGGCCACGTCCTGTTATTTAGGGATCCCTCCTATCTAATCCCACCCGTCACTCGAGCAGTAAGCGTTTGTGGTTGCGGTTTCTGATGGTTAAGGTCTAGATTGGGTTGCTCAACGCTGCCCTTCATGCCCAAGTCAACAGGTTTCATCTGAACAGAAATGTAAGGCAAAGAGACAATGGAGTTGGCAGGCTGAGTCGCCCACACAGCCCCTGGACTTCCCGGCTCAGAGCATAGCTGCAAATCCAATTCCAACATGAAAACTTAGGAAGCTGCCTTCTCGTGGCTAATGTTCAAGTTGGCCCACGAATTAATGTCAGTGGCTAAAAGGCTGCGCCTCAGTTTTCAAAGGATTAATTCCTCTCAATAAAGGAGACAATCAAATAGGTAAGTTACACACCCGGCCCCTCTCCCACCTTCTCCACCATGGGACAAAAATAAAGTGATTTTAATTTTGAATTAAAAAAAAAAAAAAAAAGGCCTGCAAACATTTTTCCTCAATCCACGCTTCTGCCCAAAAGACTGTTCACCCCTGCTCTAAGCACCTCTGGGCATGTAGGCCCCACGTGCTTTAGACTGTAAGAAGTGCTTTAGACCAAGCCCTCTGATTCATTCACATTATTCCAGATTGCCCAATCCTGTGCTGGTTCCAAACACATTTTGCATCTACTTCTAATATATGGTGGCTTCCTCCTGACTCAACCCGCTTGTTCTCAGAATTTTGCTTTGTAGCTCTTCCATATGAGGCAGCTGTCTCCCAGCTGTTTGCCATCCTCAGCTGATGGCAGTTGTCTTCCACTCCTTGTAGAAATCTCAGGCTACACCCAAGAATCACCGTTTCCCGAGTGCCCAGACCGTTTAGCCTTCCCAGCTCCCTGCCTTCTTGGCACAGGTGATTTGCCCAGGACCCCCTCCCCAATCAGAGATGGTCCAAGGCCCAGCCAGCCTCTCTGGACAGACAGCATCCTGTCCCCTCCCAAGGGGGGTGGGGAAGAGCTATGCCCCGAGCACAGGAAGATGGGAGCAGCTTCCTGGCCTATGAGTGTTGGGTACAGGAGCACAAGGGCTCCGTCTTCCAAACTTAAGGGGGAGATCCAACATTCGGGCTGATCGTATCCCTCAGTGACAGACATATCAGTTGAATTGGGTTGACATAACGTAGATGAGCTTCTCAAACTCTGTGAAGGCCAGCTTTTAACGCTGTTTCACTTCACTGTGGACTGTATTTGCAAAACACAATAAAAACCAATGACTAGAAAAAGGCGACAAAATACAAGCGCTGATCTTTGGATTTAGACAAAATGTCTCTCCAATGGGCATAAAAATGTCTGAACGCTTGACTTCTGTTTTCATGCAATCATGAACCAAGTAACAAAGAGTTCCTGCATGGACTACACGTTAAGCAGCATTGATGTACACGGTTACCCGACATGGACATTTTTCCTATCGATGTTCAACCCATTCTCTGAGAGAACACAGGGTTTTTGGCCTCTGCTCTGCTCATCTGAGGGTGGTCCAAGCACCTAGCTAAGTTCTACTGATTTCTGCTCGAGCACAGCACCACCTCCACTTGGTGGGGAGCTTCTGCAAATACGCACGAGCTCGCAACCCTCGCTGCTGGCAGGCTTTGCTCCACTGGGCTCGACCTTATGTCCTACCCCTCTCTTAACCCAGATCCCACCTGCCCTTCATGCAAACGCCCCTTCCTGCCCCCACTGCTCCCTTTCTTGCGCTCATTTTCAAGTTGGCCCACGAATTAATGTCAGTGGCCGAAAGCCCTGGTGGGCTCCCAAGGGCCTGCCGACCTATGGGGCCACATCGCTTGCCCCACTCACCAGTGTCGTTGGGGTATTTGTCTCCCCTGGTGCACGTCCTCCCGTCGTCCTCCTGGATGTAACCCTCCCGGCATTCACAGCGGTAGCTGCCCACGGTGTTGATGCACGTGTGTGCACACAGCGTCTCGTTGCTGGTGGCACACTCGTCGATATCTGGGTTTGGACCAAAGGCAGAGAATGCTCCGTTTCAGAGAGGTCTGCAAAGGACCCTCTGCCAACCTCGATCAGAGAAGGTGGTGAGCCAGCGTGCCCGGAGCACCTGAGGCCGTGTCGCCACGGTGGCAAGCTGATCGGGGACGGGATCTGCCACTGCCAAGTCATGTGGCCTGGTGCAGGCGTTGCCAGCCCTCAAAATGCCCATCTACAAGACTTGATAAGGTCGCCGGCCCGAAATACTTGGCTGGGCTCCTCAGAGGAGGAAAGGAGTTGACAGATAGCAACACACTTCGAAAAGCACGCATCAGAGCCATGATTTTCTGCAAGGACCCGAGTGGGCTGAGGGTTTTTATGCCCCCCTCCCCCGCCCCCTTTACGGCTCTAGGTTCAGAGCGGCAGGATGGTGACCCAAGGTCAGTTAGGAATGGCTCCTTCCCAGTGAAGAGATGTAATGAAACCTGAGAAAAGCCACTTCTAGCGAAAGAAAATAGTCACGATGAATCTAATGGAGAGTTTTCCCCAGGAAATCTCGGTGTCATCAATGACCCAGACGGACCGCCCATGAGCTGTGGAAACGAGCCATGAGATCATCAAACAAGTCACCAGTCAGAGTCCCCATAAACCGTGCACATCACAGACTTGCTCCCCTGCGGAATGGGGTGGAAACAAAAGTGTTTCCCACCAGGGGAAGAGGAGGCCGCCCGGGTCTGTTTCCTGCTCACTGGTTGAAGACATCAGGTGGCAGTGTGTGTGTGTGTGTGTGGGGGGGGGGGGGGGGAGACACGATACTCAGTCCTGACCGTGTACACGTGGGAGGCAGACAGAGCTCAGCCCTGCACTTCAAGATGCGGACGTTCCAGCTACTCTGGACCAGTGGCCCGGGACCCACCTCTGGCAGACCCCCATGTGTGGCAGGCCCCCGGGGGCCCCCGGGAGTGTGGTCATTCGGACGTTCCCCTGGTAGTATGCACCATGTCACCTGTGGACTAAGTGCTTCAGCTGCATTCACCTCTGCAACTCCTCAGGCTGAACACCTTTCTTCACGTGCCTCTGCCCTACACCCAAGGGTGACATTGCCCCTATTGTCCAGAGGGAGGAGGAGGTTGAAAGGAGAGAAACAGATGGAATTCTTAACAGAATGCTAGTTTTGTGGATCCCCAAATGGGAAGCGCAGAGTACTGCGGCTACCACAAACTGAAAGGAGAGCCCCCGCGCCCGGGACCTCAGAGAGACAGACGGGCGCGCCCTGTTCTCTGTAGGAGGCGCCAATGGTCCTGGGTCCACTTAGTGGCCTCAGCCCTCTTGTCAGTGTGGGGTGCCCCCACAGGTGCCACTGGGGAGAAGCTAGGAGGTTAATATCTAGAACTTCTCTTCAATGGCGCTCTCTAGAGCCCCAGTTGGGACAGAGGAGGAGGGGCCGCTCATCACAGCTCGCTTATTCTCCACTTGGGACCATGTGCCTGGCTCCTCAGTTCATCCTCCAGGGGCTTCTCAAACTCGCTTGTGCACGGGGGTCACTAGAGACGTTCCTGTAAATGCAGATTTCTGGACCCGCCCTCAGGCTCTGGAGGCGAGGCCAGGAATCTTTTCTAAAAACAAGAACCCCAGATGTTTCTGAGGCAGGTTAGCCACGGACTGACCACACTTGGAGACACGTGGCTCCAGGGGACAATTACCATCACCCTGTCTTAGAAACACAAAGAGGGCATGGCTGGACAGCCCAGCCAGTGCCGGGAGGACCCCGCCGGTGGCGAGGGCAGGTGCTGAGCTCGCTCAGCACAGTCCAGGTGGCTGGCTTCAGCTCCCTGACTCACTTCCAATCTGCCTGCCACATGGGCCCTTCCTCGTTCCCAGCCTCTCTGCCTTGCCTTCCGAGGGAACGTGGAGTCTCGTGTTTCTGTGTTTTGACGTTTCTGCCCACTTATATTCTGTTTGACATTGTTCTCGCTTTGATAATGCTCCCCTTCTCCTGCTCTCAGATCTCACTGCCTATTAGGATCTGACTGGTACCAGCTCCCTGAAGAATTCCTCAGCCGAGGTTGGTCTGATCAAGGCAGTGACGGCTGGCATGATATTATCTGAGTACCGGGACATAAGGGAAGAAACAAAGGTCAAAGCAGCTCTGGGGAGCTGGCCCCACGGATGGAGAGTATCCAACGAAGGACAGAATCACGATCCCAGGAGCTGGGGCATTAGTGTGTGCCGCCAACCCACCCAGGCAGTAAGGTTTCTCGCGCTTCCGGTGTCTCTCCCGGTCGTACCGGAACCCTGGATAACAGGTGCACAGCACTCGGCCGAAGTTATCCGTGCACTGCTGTTCACAGGGAGCCTCGGCACACACGTCGTAATCTGAAAAAGACAAGGGTGAGCTCACGTCAGCTACAGTCGTTCAGCACACGGGGGCGGTGACACGGGGCCCGGGTCTGGAACAGACCTCCTGGGCTGCACCCTGCTCAAGAATGGGGAAGGGTGGCCGGCTACGTTTAGAAGGGTGTTAACCCTTTGGGCCATGGGCCACCTTTTAAAAGTACTACGTCGGGGAACTTGGTGCTCAGCCTGGCCCGTGGTTGAAGGCAAACATCCCCTGTGATTTTCCCCCGGTCACCTCCTCATCCGCTGGGGTCTGCCACTCATCCGGGAAGCAAAGATGCTCTGGATGCCCCAGCCCTGCAGCAGTACCTGCGGTAGAGACAGGGAATTCCTTCCAGATGACCACCAAAGAACAGCCCGCCTGGTGAGGGGTGTGGGCACCATCGTGTGAGTGCGACGGCTGGAAGTCACGCAGGCTAGGAGGAGCGTGAGGGAGGCTTTGGAACAGAGCTGGTGTGGGTGATGCAGGGCTGGGGCATGCGTGTGTGTGCGCGCGTGTGTGTATCCTGCATGCTGAGGAGGGGCTGGGAGCAGCTGGAGGTCTCTGGATGCCCTCTTACTTGAAAAGAATTAAAGCATCTCCTCCTCCCAGTCCTTACAAATGGATACTTAACAAGCCTCTGAAGGGACTTTGGCTCGGAGTCAGGAGCTCAGGCTGCACATTCACCTCCAGACTAGATCCAGCATCTCAATCACTGAGCTATCTTCCCTAGGTGCTGACAGATAAATGATCCTCGGACGCAGAGTAAACCCGGCTTTGCTCCGCTGCACAGGAAGGTGGAATGGGTGGGTCGGTCTGTCTTTAGCTCTGATGCAGACGGCGTCCGTGGGGCAAGGATCATGCCATTCTCATGAGGACCTGCAAAGCTGCCCCTGCTAAATCCTTTCCCCTGTAATTGTGATGCCAGGTCTACTTTCCTGCCAGTCAAACATGGTTTCCTCAACTAAATATCACCTCTAGGCAGCCAATGTAGTTGTTGTTGAAGACTTTATTTACTTGAGAGAGGGAGAGCACAGAGGGAGTGAGAAAGGGAGCAGCAGACTCCCTGTTGAGCAGAGAGCCCGACATGGGGCTCGATCCCAGGACCCTGAGATCATGACCTGAGCCGAAGGCAGACGCTTAGGTGCCCCTAGGCAGCCCATGTTTTGTGCTCTATACTCTTCTCTTGCTCCCGTGTTCTGCCTTATTTGTGGAATGCCTACTCTGTCCCCGGCTAGGAGGCATGCAGCCTTATGGTGAAGAGTATGGGTTCCAGAGCCAGCCCTCCAAACTCTGCTACTATGTCGTCTGTGACCTCGGGTCCTGTAAGTCTCATCCTCTTACCTATAAAATAGGGGTGACAGTAATAATGACTTTATGGCGCTTTTATGAAGGTTAACTTGGATGATGCCTTAAAGCACAGGGCCCGACACACAGTAAAGCTTAACCTGCTCTTCTGCTGCCTTTATTACTAGCTCTTACTACTGTCTGGGTATCTAGCAAGGACAGTGTCCCTTGGACTAACTGGCACTACTTTCTTCCTACAGTTTATGCTCAATTAATAACTGTTGAGCTAGGACAAATGAGATTATTCTATCACCTGGCAAATCAAAATAATACAGCAGAGGGCTTGGCAGAGTAGATCTGGTTGGCAACCACTACTCCACTCTGCAGTGGTAGGGCAAAAGCAGCCGTAGATAATACTTAAGTGCATGAGTATGGTTGTGTTTCAATAGAACTTTATTTACGAAAACAGGCGGTGGGTCAGATTTGGCCACGGGTGGTTGACTTTTGACTTAGAGTAACAAACATGAGGCAACACTCCCTTAAATTGCACCTTCTCCTCAGCACATTTGTTTAGAAATTCTAGTCCCTTTACTATCTGTGATGGTTAATTTTATGTGTCAATGTGGAGACGCCACAGTACCCACATACTTGGTCAAGGACATTCTAGACGTTTCTGTGGAGATATTTGTTAGATGGGATCAACATTTAATTTGGTAGAGTCTGAATAAAAATGTTGGTGGCCCCTTTCAATCAGTTGAAGGCCTTAATAGAAAAAACACTTCCCCCAGGGAAGAGGGAATTTTGGTAGCAGACGACCTTTTGACTCAGACCGTTACCTTGCTTCTGGGTTTCCAGCCTATCCTGCGGACTTTTGACTTGCCTCCACAAGCCTGTCAACTAATTCCTTTAAGGAAACCTCTCTCTGCTTCTCTGGACAATCCTAACGAATATACTATCTTTTCTGACTTTCTACATTTCTATGTTGCATTCCTGCTCATGGAAATCTTTATGACTGTAGAGATCTTTAGTAAGAAGCCCATGCACACAGACTTCTTCCCACAGATTGAAACACTTCAGTGTTCTAGTGACAGCAACAGAGCAGCCTGCTAGTTAGAGCAAGGCTTTGTTAATCACAGTATCACAGGCCCCGCTGAGGGCGAGGGGAGGCTACCTTTAGGCTCTGATGTTTGAAACCACAACACCCAACATTTCAAGAAACCCTAAGTATGTGGTACCCATGTAATGTGTTTTTATTTAGGCTGGGCAAGGTCTTTAGCTGGGATCTTAAATCGACTGGCCTAAACTTAGTTTTCTTAGTATCTGCCAAATTGAAATATAAAGGACAGAGCTGCAGACTGAGAAAAGCTGGCTTATAAAAGAACGCAATTATTTTGACCTTTGTGGGTTTTTTCTTTGTGGGTTTTTTCCACCATGCTCTAACCAACAGAATTGGCTGGCAGTGAGAAATTCAGTCTGAGAGAGGCCCAAGGCCACATAAACCATCTTATGTAAAGTGATTTCCTAACCAACCTTCCTAAAGCAGCTTTCTCAGAGGTCCCAGCTATGGTTTAGTGAACTCTTCCACCTTTTCACCGAAGAGAGCAATACGCAGGGGGGATTCATTTATTTCTAACTGAGACAAAGAAACTGCTCTCTATGCGATAATGCAACATGAATTGCCTTGGCTGCACTCCTGGTTCTCTGCAAAGGCCTGGCTTCTTGGTTGACAGTGAAGAAACCTATTTCTCATTACCCACCCACCCATCTCTCCCCGGCCCCAGGCCAACTAATCTCACGCTCTCCGAACAGTTCTTAGAGTTCTCTGGATCAGCGCTGGGATCCTTTGCAGCTCTCTTCCTCCTACCTGTCCAGGTCCTTGGCAGCCTTCCTTGATCAGCCGGCTCCCCCTCCTTCCTGAGATCACCTCAGACTGCCCTGGGTCTTCTGTGCCCCGGGCCTGCTCCAGACACTTTCTGCTCTGAATGCCTCTACCACACATGTTGTGGTCATTATTAAAAACAACAGCAGGAACCATTTATCAAGCACTTAATAAGAGCCAGCTTCTGTTCCAAGTACCTCACATGCGGTTAAGATTCTTAAAACAACCATGAGTCAAGTACTAATACTTTCCCACAAAGACTAAGGTAGGATGTGTGTGTTACGCACTGAATCCTCCTGTCCTCTTGAAATTCACATGTTGAAATCCTAACCTCCAAGGTGATGGTCTGAGAAGGTGGGGCCTTTGGGAGGGGCTTAGATCATGAGGACAGAGTCCTCATGAAGGGGCTTGGTGCCTTTATAAAAGAAACCCCAGAGAGCTCTCTTGTCCCTTCTGCCATGAAAGGACATAGCAAGAAGGTGGCTATCTATGAATCAGGAAGCTCCCACCAGGCATGGCGTTTTCCAGGGTCTTGGTCTTGGACTTAGCCTCCAGAACTATAAAAGAAATAAACATTTGTGGTTTAAGCCACCAGACTATGGTATTTCTGTTATAGCAGCCAGAATGGACTAAGGCAATATGGAAAGTGTAATTAAAATTCAGGTCTCTTGGGATGCCTGGGTGGCTCAACTGGTTAAGCCTTGGCCATTGGCTCAGGTCATGATCCCAGGGTCCTGGGATCAAGTCCCACATTGGGCTCCCTGCTCAGAGGGGAGTCTGCTTCTCCCTCTGCCTGTCACTCCCCCCCCCGCCGCTTGTGCTCCCCCTCGCTCTTTCTCTCTGACAAATAAATAATAAAAATAAAATCTTTAAAAAAAATTCAGGTATCTCTGATTTCATGCTTGTCTATATCCTGTCTCCCCAGCTTGAGGGTGTGGACTTTGAGGACTGGGCCCAGGTCTGACACTGCTCTGTCTCCTCAGTGCTGGGCTGAGCACAGAGCTTGAAGGGGCTTTGAGTTTAGCATATGAAAAGCAGAGAGAGGTGGGGAGGATGCTTGTGTTCTAACTGTGTATGACATGCTGATTAGGGAAATACAGCCTCCTGAGCTTAAAACCTGAAATACATGTGTACTGTTTGTATATATTGAGAATGCTCAATATATGTGTATAAGTTGTGTAATGATTTGGGTAGAGCATACTATACATGGAGCTAAATTGGCACTAGAAGAATTTAATGCCAAAAAACCCCTGAAATTACATACACATTCTATATACATCTGAACTTTATAGACACCTAACGACTAGTCACAAACAAGGTGAGAAGACAATCTTTTATATTACATACCTTCTGGGATGCATTGTCCAAGAACAAATTTATACCCTTTGCAGCATTTTTTCCTAAGAGACAAACAAAAATGTATTTTAAATGGGATGTTAGATTAAAAATATAATTCTTTTTAGTTATTGAATGACTTGTGCCCAGGGAAAAGTAAGGCCTAAGGGAAAGAAGGGGTTGTGTAGCTTTAAGGGAAGCAGAGATAAAAAGGGGAAATATTATCAATAGCACATGGACACATCTTCCAATAGCGGGATGCCTTTTTCATCACGTAATGTGTGTAATTAATCACTTGAATCCAATGAAGTGGATTAACGCAGAGACTTCAAGATAGTTAGATCAGATGATCAGAGGCCTCAGGATATAAAGGAACTTTGAGGCTGGCCAGGCCCCTCAGCCTACAAGCTAGGGATTCACTGACTTGCTAATTTTAACAATTAGCTAACAACTAGATAATTATAATGATGGCTAATTATAATAATAATTAGATAGCTAATTATTAGTAAGACTGAGGCTGGGACCCAAGTATTCTGACTCCCACTTGAGTGCTTGCTTTACACCTGTACCACATAAGGTACTGAAAGGTATCTAAATTATCTGAATTAAAAAAACAGCAAACAAGCAGTTCATTCATTCACTCATTCATCATTCATTCATTTTGAGAGAGAGTTGAGAGCACATGTGGGAGCAGGGCAGAGGGAGAGGGAGAGAGAATCTCAAGCAGACTCAAAGTGGAGCATGGAGCCTCGATCTCACGACCCTGAGGTCACGACCTGGGCCAAAATCAAGAATTGGACACTTAACCGACTGAGTCACCCAGGTGCCCCAACAGCAGGCAATTCTAAGAGAAATGGTGCCATCAGTTCAAAATGTAAATCTCCACTGGATATCTTAAGTGTCTGGTATGAAGTTGTAGGCTCCTAACAGACCAACCCCCTACAGATAGCAACTATAAACTCCGGACAAAACAGAAGCAAACCACCACTGGTAGGTCCTGGTGAGTAAAGAGAAGTGGGCAGGATTTAAGAGGAGAGTTGAAATTTTGAACAAGGGACCAACCCGGGCTAAGTTTCCTGCTTTTTAGGGCTTTAGCCTATCAAAGTGCCTATCACAGTTGCTATGTGGTGTGGAAAGCTAAAACACAGGGAACCCACAGGGAGTTTTGGCTCAATCAAATGCAGGACAAAGCTGGGGCAACCAGAGGCATGAAAAATTGAGGGAAACCCTGGAAAGGAGAGTGCTGGAAAAGGGGAGCCTTAAATTCTAGGTATAAATTCTTCCCAAGCTCTGGTAAGCCCTAACCCATGCGTGTGAGGAGCAGGCTCAAAACACCCCCGCTAAATACAACACAGGCTGAAGGCTTGAGCTACCACCTACTGCAAGGCAGTTTTCACATTACATCCAACCAAGTTCCTTGCCTGCTAAAAGAGAAATATCAACATTCCTTGGATGAATTGAACAGGATTCAGGGTCTCCATGACACAACTTGTACAAATGTGACCCATTCTCAAGGGAAAGACAATCAACGATGCCAATTCCAACTGCAGATGTTGGAATTATCAGACACAATGTTAAAGCAGCTGTTACAACTATGTTTGAAGATATAAGGGAAAATACACTTGTAATCAATGAAAACGTAGGAAATCTAAGAGAAACAGAAACTATGAAAAGAACAAAATAGAAGAATTGGGAAATATATCAAATTAAAAAAAAAACCAGGGGGCCTGGGTGGCTCAGTTGATTGGGCAACTGCCTTCAGCTCAGGTCATGATCCCAGAATCCTGGGATCGAGTCCCACATCGGGCTCCTGGCTCAGCAGGGAGCCTGCTTCTCCCTCTGACCCCTTCCCTCTCATGCGGTTTCTCTCTCTCAAATAAATAAATAAAATCTTAAAAAAAAAAACAAAAACAAAAAACCATCCTGCTGGATGGGTTTAACAACTGAATGGTGACAGAAATTAGTGAATTTGAAGATCTAAGCACAGGAATAAGCCGATTTAAAGAGAAAAAAATGATTAAAAAAATGCACTATACCTCAGGGACTGGTGGGACAATTTCAAAAGTTCTAATGTATGGTATTTGGAGTTCCAGAAGGTGGGGAGAGAGAAAACGGAACCAAAAACAAATTTGAAAAATGGTTGAAATATCCCAAGTTGATGGGGTGCCTGGGGTTAAGCATCTGCCTTTGGCTCAGATCATGATCCCAGGATTCTGGGATCGAGCCCCGCATCGGGCTCCTTGCTCAGCAGGAAGCCTGCTTCTCCCTCTCCCCCCACCCCATGCTTGTGCTCTCTCTCTGAAATAAATAAATCTTAAAAAAAAAAAAAAAAGAAAAAGAAAATATCCCAAGTTTAGTGAAAAACAAATTTACAGACTAAAAATGTTCAGCAAACCTGAAATGTGTTAAATACACACACGTAAAAAACCGTCTAGAGACATCATAGTCCTCCTGCTGAAAACTAAAGAGAAAAATCCTGAAAGCAGGCAGAGAGAATGTGCACATCTATAAGCGTGTGGCCATGCGCTGCTCATCAAAAGCGATGGTAACCAGAAACAGTGGTAGGACATCTTTTAAGTGGTGAGAAAAACCAGCCTGTCAACCCAGAATCCTATATCCGGTGAAAATACCCTTCAAGAATGAAGATGAAATAAAGACGTTTCAGATTAAAGAAAACCAAGCATTCATCACCAGCAGAGCTGGGTGACGAGAAATACTAAAGGGAGTTCTTCAGAATAAAAGGACAGGGTACCGGGGGGAACTTGGATCTTTAGGAAGGAACAAAATGCCTCATGCATGATGTATCTGGGTACACATAAAAGGCTATTTTTTCATGCTTATTTTAAAGCAAAAATTACACACTGTCTTGCAGGATTCATAATGCAAGTAAATGCAACAAAGAGAACTGCAGAATTAAAAAAATGGCAGGGCTGTAAAAGGACCTACATGGTAACAAAATGTCTACACTGTGTGTGAAAGTATACAACACTGACATTTCCGCCACAGCACATTCCCCTTTGTTCTCCATCTCTCCAGCCTCGTTACTCTTCCCCCTTCCTTCCCCTTCTCTCCCAGCTGGGTTCCTGGTAAGCTTCCTTTGACCACTTCCAAAATTAGTATGTTAATTCAGAGGCCAAGAATTAACCTGGGTGTGGTGAATTTGCAAATCTCCAAAATACAGCCCAAGATCTTTTGCATTGATTATAAAGGTTAAACTATCATTTTTAAAAAACGATTTCTTTGTAACAGTAAGAGAAATCACATTCAAGGTTATTCCCATCAAAATATCATTCTCAATCATCTGTATTTGAACACGCTTTTTAGGTTAAATATGGTCCAGCGACTGGGAAGTGCACATCACCTGCAGTCTATCGATGCTGCCACGTGTGAGCATATCATTTGTACGTTGTAGTGAATACGGGGGCAGGAACCACAGATCTGGGAAATTAGGCATTATCTGGGTCCTAAAGCAAATTCCCACCTTTTGTCAAATGGTCCGAACCTTCCACCAGGTTAGACAAAGACTTCTAAGAAAAATATGATACACTTAAGGCGCCTGGGTGGCTCAGTCGTTAAGCGTCTGCCTTCGGCTCAGGTCATGACCCCAGGGTCCTGGGATCGAGCCCCGCATCGGGCTCCCTGCTCCGCGGGAAGCCTGCTTCTCCCTCTCCTACTTCCCCTG